AGCCCAAAACCCATTATCTGACTGCAAACTGCCAACACTGCAATTAAACCTGAATACTGAGGTCTTGGAAAAACCGACTCTACATTAACATCTTTTGTCTTAAAAACACAGTAACAAACGTGGCATAGGTCTGCCACCACTGCTCAGTTAGGGCCGATTCTCCTTTCACCCTAGCAAGTAACCCCTCCCACTGCTCCCCTGTGCTCTCCACCCTTTCACCTGGCAAGCAGTTAACCAGTTAACCAGTCGATGTAAAAGGAAAGTTTGCTCCGGGATTACTGAAGGGGCGAAGATGATTACTGGTGCTGTTGATTGAATGGTGGACTTTTTTTTTTTTTTATACCAGGGATCAAACTCGGGACAGTGCGCTTGCAAGGCAGGCATGGTGCCTCTGAGCTAAATCCTCGCCCAGGATTTTTTATTCTTTGAGACAGGGTCTCACTAAATTGTCCAGGCTGAGCTCAAACTCTCCATCCTCCTGCCTTCCAGAGTGCTGGGATGACACACACCTGGCCTGGAGCCGTCTTTCGGACTGTTCACACAGGGAAGGGGAGACACGCACTGAACCTGGTGCCAGCAGAACTGTCCACGCGGGTCCCAGTCCGGGCAGCACACGCAGATGGGAGCGCGCCCACTTCCTCGGTCCTGCCGTAGGCCTGGCCCCTACCGACTATGCCTGGCTCTGACCTAACGTGTCAGCCCCTCTGACAGACTGTCAGCTTCACCTGTCCTCACAGCTCCCACCTCAGCTCATGAAGCACCCTCCTTCTTTTCTGAGACAGGTTCTCTCTCACTGTGTTGACCAGGCTGGTCTCAAGCTCCTGGACTCAAGAGATCGTCCTGCCTCACCCTCTTGAGTGCTGGGCTGACAGGCTAATGCACACCCACGAAGGGCACACTATCCAATCACTAAAGACGACTGCGAGTGCAAGAGAAGAACATGGCTGACCTTTGCTATGGAAGTGGAAGAGTAAAACTTGTCCCTTGTGCGAATGGCTTCCATTTACCAAAGGCTACTCTACCGAAATTCAGAATGTGAGGGGCACAGTGCTCTAAGCCTTTACGCTTTGCTATCCCTTGCGTCTGGCACAGCCTCCAGCCTTGAGTCCTGAACAAAGGGCTACCACGCAGGGCGCACATGTGGGGGCCACGGCCTGGAAACCTACATCCCTGGGTTCACCTGCGGCTCTTAACTGAAGTCTCCTCAGACGTCCACTCAAGCGGAAAGTCACTTTCCAGAAAACCACAGCTGATCTCTACATAGGAAGTCCTGCTCCTTCTCCTTCTCCTACCCTATGAAGCATTCACACTGAGGCTCCCTGACGAGGGCTTAATAAAAAGGTAGAGAAGTGAAACCAAATGCAGCCACAGAAAGCTCCGCACTAGATGCGTTGAGATCTGGGTGGGAGGCGTACATGTGTGACAAACCTGAAAACTAAGAGGGCGGGAACCGTGAACTAGTCCACAGGGCACAGCTCCACTGTGGGGCTAGGAAAGGACCAGGCAAGCCGAGAATGCTCCCATTTAGCGTAGGTCAGGCAGGCAGCTGAAAGCTGCGCTCAAAGACAAGATATTTTCAGGTTACAGACGGGAAACTTGGGATCCTCGTCACTGTCAGCTAAACAAGATTGCAGGACTGAAATTCTGCCATCCTACCATCCTCCAGTGTGAATTTCAGCCAGGCAGACCGCCTCTTGCCTGTACTGTGCCAGGTACTAGACACATTCACAGACAGCATCTCACCTAATCCTCACTTCCACCCACAGAGAAGACTTATCCACCTACTGGAGAGAGCAGCAGGTCGGGAGAGGTAAGCCACAGGCCGCCCTCCCCACCACCTACCGCCTAAACTCGCCTTGGGAAAGGCAACCTCCTCCTTCCCGCCAGGCAGCCACACCGAGCACATGCTGGACATCGTGCCAACAAATGGAATCCCACCTGTAGGTAACCTCCCAGACAGGCGGGCTGCTGGGCAGGCTCAGTCCCCAGACGCCCCGTTCCCCCAGTCAGCCCCGGGCAGACATCTGGAATGAAAACCTCTGGATGGTCTGGAACAGCCAATGTTCAGGATCCTGATTCCAATTCTCCAGACTGGGTAAAAAATAACCACAACTTCCCCTGCATTTGGCTCCTCCCCAAAGAGCTGTTGAACCTCATCTGGAAACAGCTGGGAGGCAGCAGCTAACAGGAAACCAAACCAAAAAAAAAAAAAAAAAAAAAAAAAAAAAAAAAAAAAACACAGCACAGAGTGTACCAGGGAGAGTTAAGCAGCCAGAACCAAGAGGCCAGGGGGACAGACAGGAAGCTGCAGTTAGAAAGGACAGAGGCCAGAAACAGCCACAGAGAGGAGAGGAGGCAGCTGGCCTTCCTCTAGCCGGAGCAGGAGACCCAGGCAGGGCAGTGGTGAAGGCTCTAATCTGGCAGAAGGGGAAGTCAGCCCAGCTCTGAGGCTGGTCCTTCTCCCACTGCACTTAACCAACTTCTCCGAAAGCCGGCAGGTAGTTGTGAGGTCAAACACTTCTCTCCAGTTTTTCTGTCAGTCTGCAACGAATTCCACACTGCTGGCTAACTCAGCCTCACAGAGAGACAAAGAGCATCTCAGTGGGTCCTCCAGCAGGGGACACGGGCGACGGCAGACCCTAGGGAGGAGGGCCAGCAAGCGAGCAACACAGCCGGCAGGGCTGGAGCCCGACAGCCAGGTAAGCTCACACCAAACTGGAAGTCCATTTTGCAAGCAAGAAAGTTGACTGAAAAAATAAAAAATGAAAAGGGGTGGAGATGTAAAAAAAAAGAAACGAAAGTTGACTGAGCAATGGACAGTTGCCGAAATATTTTTGAAAGAAATGGAATTAAAAAGTCATTACTGAATTCCCTGGCGGACTCAAAAGTCTTTAGGTTACCCCAAAGAAGGGCAAAGGGGAGCCTGGCTTATTTTTCCTTTAGCAGAGCTTACTTAGGTGAGAGCTTTCTAGCCTTCACAGCCGGTATTTGTTCCCCCTTCTACATGAAGTTTATATTAAAGAAGAGGATTATGTTCTCTTAATAAAACACATTCCCTTGTTTCACCTCCAGTTTTGCTTGAAAAGGCCTTCTCAAAGCAGAGTTCACGCTACAACCTAGTGGAGGCTGATGCCAATGAAAGTGCTCAAAATCTGAGACTGAAGGGTGCCCAGGCTGCAAGCTCAGTGTCATTTGTCCTTTTAAAAGCAGAACATCTTCACGGGCTCGGTGCCACCTTGGACTGACAAGACCTGCGAACCAGAGCGGAGACTGCCCAAGGTGCCACATCAGGGGTGCAGAAGGAAAAGCTCTGGGACCATGGTCCCACACTTCACAAGGGAAAACGGGTGATTACTTTGTTTCACGATCATAACAAATGAACAAGCCAACTGATCCTTTATTCCACAGGCGGAAATGCCATCCAAGGCCAAGCAGCTGGTATTTTAAGTCCAGGTAAAGGCGCAATGTTTTACGTTGGATTTATCTGAGTGGCTCGCTACTTTCCAAAAGGGGCCAGGAGAATATTTCTACTCTTCTTTACACTGTGGCTGGAGTCCCCAGGACACTTCCTAGGCTGCCAGCAAATCAGAGCAAGCAGCCAGGGCAGCAGACACTGAGGATACTAAGGCAGGAAGCCCAGATCAGCAGGGATCTCATCACCAGCTCTTCGGGGCTGGGCAGTTCAGGCCCGGCAGCCAGTCCAAAGAACTGAAGTCACCTGAAGCAAATACCTATCTTATCTCCAGGGGAAGGGAGAGAGAGTAGCGAGAGGTTTTAACCCTGGAGCACCAGACATTTCCGTTCCTTAGAAAAAAAGGGATCTCCAGCATGGCATGATGCTATGTGCCTGTTCCAGCATCCAGGAGACTGAGGCAGGAAGACTGCCTTGAGTTTATGGCCAGCCTGGGCTACGTAGTGAGTTCAAGGCCAGCAGGGATTCCAGAATAAGACCCTGTCTCAAAAAAAATAGAAATAACAACAAAAAACAAAACAAAACAAAAGGACTCTCAAGTCAGGGCTGCACTGAAGTCTGCCCTGGACACTGTCATCTTCCTTATATAATGTTTCAGAGCAGCCAGAAATTCCTCCAACTTGCCAGGACAGTTGGCACCTCCAAAAGCCTTCCTAGGAGCCCCAGGGCCCTCCTCCAGAGCCTTCCAGTAAGTGGGCTGTAAAGGGGCCCAATCTCTTAGAACAGGTACAATATGAAAAGCAGCTAAGGGCCAGGGATTTAGCTCAGTGGTTTCGCTGCCTGCCTTGCAAGCCCAAGGTCCTGAGTTTGATCCTCAGTACAAAAAAAAAAAAAAAAAAAATTAGATGATAGGTTTTTTTTTCCTCAAGGAAAAAAAAGAAAAGTAGCTAACACTTGAATCCCTGCACTCCAAGAGGCTAAGGCAAGAAGACTGCAAGTCCAGCCCTTAACAACTTAGCAAGAACTTGTTTCCAAACTAAAAATACAAAAAGTGGGAGGAGCCTGGGGATATAGCTCAGTGCAAAGGTCTTGGGTTCAATCCCCAGTACCGCCAAAAAAAAAAACAACAAAAAAAAACGTAGCTAACACTTATGGAGCACCTAACTGCAGGCACAGGGATAAGCACTTTACCTCAGTCCATACCCACGAGAGCCCCTGGGAGGCACAGACTGTCACCCTCTAAAGGAGGAAGCGGGCTGAAGGTGCCACACGATCATGAAATAATGGAGCCAGGGCCACAGATGGCCTGGACAGTGGGTACCGCACACCTAGGGGACGGGGCAGGCGGCGCCCAGTAGCACAGCTGCAGCCTGCTCACGAACCCCTTTCTTGGCCCCGACCTGTACCCCGACCCGGGGGCTGGGCCTGGATGAGGAGAGAGAAGCCAAGCCGGAAGAAGCACAGCACAGCTGCCAAGGGAGGGACCGGGACGGCGGCGCTTCTCGCAGCCGCGGGGACCCCAGACCCACATCCTGCCGCGTTGTGTCAAGGGCAGGCCCCCGCGGGGACGCGGATCCGCCGGCCCTACCTGTAGGCCAGGGTCATGCACTCGAAGAGCTTGGTGAGCGAGGCGTCGATGGACAGGTGGCAGGAGCTGGTCTTGCCGAAGCTGTAGGTCTGGCACGTCTGTTTGTTGACCGTGTCGAAGTCGTAGCCCTTCTTGGGCGGGTGCTCGCGGTGCGGCGACGACACCATGAAGTGGCCGCTGTGGATGATCTGCTGGCGGCGCGGAGGCTCCTCGCGC